TCGCCCTTATCCACCAAGAAGACGAGGTTATCTCTCTCTGCCGACCCCCCCCCCAAAAAAAAATAAAAAAATAAAATAAAAAAAATAAAAAATTTGAAAAATAAATAAATAAAATAAAATCCCAACCCACCTTCTTCCTCCCTCTCTAACAGCATATCTGTACATGAGGGAGGTGGGCGGGGGAGAAAGGAAGAACGAGGAGGAAGAGGAGAAGGGAGAGAGAGAGAGAGAGTAGAACAATTTGCGCAGGCAGGTAAGGCCTATCGTGAAGCGAAAGAGAGAGGGACAATTCATTATCTTCACACGCAGAGTGCTTTAGCATTGGGGAAATGCTCATCACACATGAGCTACATTTTTTTAATTAAAAAAAAAGCAAAACAAATAACTGTACACTACAGTTGGCCCCGTGGATAAGAGTGTCGCCACTTTATCGGGTCCCACCAAGTGACACTCGTGCGTGCGGTGAGTTTTGGTTTTTTTGTTCTTGTTCTTGTTCTTGTTTGTTTTGTTTTGGGTTTTTTTCTTTACAACTTGAGGTTTCGGGTTAGTTTTAGTATAGTATTGAGTAAGAGTTTTTACGGAACTTGCAACAAAATTAGGTCAAACAGAATATGAGTTCAGGCAGTCTGCACCGCAGTCCAGCGCCACACCAACCGAGCTGAGCTGTTGTGCTGTATTTTTTTTTTAAAGTAGAGGTTTTACGGTGCTCGCAACTTCATAAGGTCAACAACAAACGAACAAAAAACCCCCCAAAAAACAAACCGCAGTATACATAACTCCACACCACTTCAGGATATCCTACACCAGTCGACTCGATTCCTGCCGGGTTTGGGTTTTTTTAGCCCCGAAAGCACACGTTCTGTGTCCGGGGTGTGACTGAGCATGACTGGGCATCAATTAGTGACGCTACCCAACGTCGTACCAAAGATATAAAGCCAGTTCATACAAAGATAAAAATACACGTTATAACGTTCATTTTTTTTCTTCTCTAAGCAGAACAAGGAAAATAAATCAAATGAGGCAGTACCAGAAGAAGCTTATTATATGGACTGTTCGCTGTTTTTGTTTGTTTATTTGTCTGTTTGTTTGTTTGAGTAAACAGAAGCACACCAACACAATAATGGCCATTTCATGCTGGGAAAAAATAAGACACACTGATAGAAGCAAGAGAGGGAAAGTAAAGAAGAAGGACTTACCAGTGGCGCCCTCTAGCCACTTGCTGATAAAAACAATTATCTAAGAGATAAATGCAGCTTTTGGGATACTTGATTACATATTATACGGGCCTTCAGTACTTAGTTCTCACTGGTAAAATTGAAAGCAAAGACAGGGGTATACCCGAGCAACTTACTCGAAAAGCCTAAACAACAGATGACGGGGAAAGATCAGATTAATACAAAGTATAGCTTTTAAATCACTGCTTCCACTAACACCCAACGCACATAAAGTCTTATTTTTTGTCACTACCTGGATGGCTTTGATCTGTTACTTTTGTAACCCTCCTTCCTCCCCCCCCCCCCCCCCAAAAAAAAAGTGAAGACAAATAACTTCTACAAGATAAAATTGAAGTTAACCTCCCTCCCCCCCCAAAAAAAAACATACACACACACACGATTTCGGTAGTGTTTCTTTCTGTTGTTGGTTTCCTTTTTTTTCTAATAAAACCAGACACGCCTCTATCCCGGGCAGCTCCTGTGTACACTAGGACCATCAGCTCTGCTGACCCAAATTATGCCTCATTTTGTCTACTGACGCATCCTCTTATTTGTATATTATAATATTTATTTATGTCTGTGTTTAGTGCCGACAGACTAACCGAAAAAGAAATAATAATATATACCCCCCC